AATTGGACAGTTTGAATGAATCCATCATCCAGAAATGTCCAGAGCTTGTTAATTGTAAAGGAGTTGTGTTCCATCGCGGCAACGCGAGACCACACACAAGTTTGATCCCCGTCAAAAATTATTGGAGCTTGGATGGGATGTGTTGCCACACACACCATACTTGCCTGACCTTGCGCCGTCAGACTTCCACTTGTTTTGCTCTCTTCAAAACTCCTTGCGTGGTATAACGTTTAATTCAGATGAGGCTGTAAATCAGCACCTTGTGCAGTTTTTCACAAAGACAGGTCCTTCTATGAACAAAGAATTATGAAGCCCACTGAAAGATGGCAAAAGGTTATTGAACAAAATGGGCAATATATCATTGATTGATCTTTGTTCTTTATATAAATAAATGACCTTTGGAAAACATAGACAAAATACATCATGACTTTTCCGACAACCCAATAGAACAAATATTGAAAAACCATGAATTACTATCTCCAGGTTAAGTTTAGCAGCTTACATTTCTTTTAAAGATTCATACAATTATTGTTGTCATTTTTATATTATATACATGTAGATAGTCATATTTTTTGTTATACATTCATAAATATTTAGTCAAAGCTTAAGTAAGATGTAGTAGAGAATTGTGCTTGGTTCTGGGTCTACAAATTCCATTCCTGCCTACAAATGGCTTACAGTTCAGATTAGAAATGGTAACCCAGTGGGGGATGGCGGGGTGGCAATGAACAGTCCTTGAGCAAGAGAGGCAGGAAAGACTTCATCAAAGAGATGACATTTGAGCTGAGTTAAAGTTAGTAGGTTATTCTACATATAAAAGATGAGACTGAAATAAGCAAGTGTTCATTAAGCAAATGGGAGAGGCCATTCTAATTAGAGAGAACTTTGTGAAGGAAGCCACCAAAAAGTATGAAAAAGCCACTCATGTTCAAGTACTAACAGCGGGTCAGCATGGCCAAAGAGTGGTGTGTGAATTGGGCCATGATGGAAGATTAAGCAGGGTTTCAGGGACCTAATCAAGAAGGGTCTTCTTTGTTTAAAATAGGAACTATAAATTTAATTCTTTAGGCAGTAGGGAAGCCATTAAAATGTTTAAGCAAGAAAATAACAATGACTGGTCTGGTGGATTTTTGTTTTTATAAGAAAATTCTATACTTTATTAAAGAAGAATAGATCAGAGTGTTGTCAGTCTATGGGGCAGGGAAACCAGTTAGGGAATGAATGTAATAATCCAGGCAAGAACTGAAGGTGTGAAGTAACTGTCAGTAAAGATAGACAAGAACAAGCCTCTAAAGAAACTTGATGGATTAGTTTGAGAAGAAAGAATTGAGATTGACATGGTTGTGACTGGTGCGACTAGGTAGATGGGTAAAATTCCTCTTGATGGGGGAATTCAGAACAGAAAGAATCTGTTTAGGAAGGACAGTGCTACTACGTTCCACGTGGACAGATTGATTTAGAAACCTGTTGGACATCCAGTAGTATAGAGGATATATTGGGTTGCAGATAAAATTTTGGGAGTCATCAGCATATAATTAAAACCATTGGAGTGATGAGATTGCCCAGAGAGCATTTAGAGCAGGAATTCTTAAATTGGAATCCAAATATCCTGAAATTACCCAAAATATTATAGATGTGACTTTTGTTAGGAAAGGGTTCATAGCTTTTTCTTCAGATTCTCAAAAGGGATAAACACTTGTTTAGTGTGAAAAGGGGCCCTTAGCCATCTGCATTGTTTTTAAGTGATGGGCTGGGGTTGTGGTTTCAGCAAAGAAGGCAGAAAAGGAACAAGAGTGTAGAGAGAATCATGATATCAAAGCCTAAGGAGTACGGTCCAGTCAGATGAGGACTGAAGAGTCATTGGCTTGGCAGTTAGAAGGTTGGTAAAATTGTTCCTGATAAACAAGATGGAATTAAATGCATTTGTACTTAATAAAGCTCCCCCCAGGAACACCATGGCTTCTAAGAATTGTAAAAACCATTGACCTATACTGAAGTTTAAATGCCTTAGTCAAGTGTTCAAGGCTGTGTAAAATTTACTCTTGCCTTGCCGTTACAGTTTGATCTCTCACTTCAATATCAGAACTAGCAAAATCCATCTCTTCACTGTTTTCTGGATACTTCATGCAAATCTTAGCTTCAGGCTTTTGCTCCTGTTTTCCATCCTGTCTGCCCTGTTCCCTACCCAACAAATCCTATCAGCGTTTCACTGTAAAATTTGTTCCACTTCCTCTGTGCCCTTTTGATTGACCTACACTTATCTCCCTCTTTATATTCTAGTAGTATTTATTATCTTATTTGTTTGGGCATTTAAAATTATACTACGTTGCATTGCTACTTATTTTACGTATTGCCTTCCTAATGAGATTTTACTCCTAAAGGCTAATGTCACCATACATTTCATTACACCCCCCCTAGTGACCAAACTTTCATTATTATACTTCTTATTATAGATACTAAAACATTTTAATGAATTTAACCTAAGGCAGACATAGTGGGGGAAAATGTCTCTAAGAAAAAAATCATATGATGCATTTCAAGTTATACAGGAGTAATTTATTTATGGATCATTTTTATGACTACTCCATTTCTATGGGTAATCAAGAGTTGATTGCATATCAGAATATGATACTGATATTACATGAGGCTTATGAACTTTTTAGCTTTTATTTGGAATTTTAAGGTATTGAATCAAACTGTTTTTTCTGTTTAAAATTATTTTATATTTCAAAATGGAAATATCTTTTATGGATTTTAAAAGTAAAATACCAATATAAAATAAAAGGCAGACGTCTACAAAGTAAAAATAAAATATTACTAATATTTCTGTATTCTATTTTGTCAAAGGCACACATATTTTATAAGTATCTGTACCATTCATAAATTAAGTATGTACCAATGTGATGAAATACAAAACTTAGTGACTAAAAATGCAAGTGACTCATCATTAGTACATTATTTTTGAAGCAAACTTCAGTGGTATGGTGTTTATAGTTCTGCTAAATAATAATTTGACTTAATCATCTGACTTGAAGCCAGTGTTCCTATTTCTTTCATTATTTGCTGGCAACTTTTGGGCTAACCCAGGGCTATAGTAGGAAAAACTACCATAAAAAAAAGGAGCAATTTAATTTTTTTTAAATTAAGAACTTTTATAATTAAAGGAATAGACATGTTAGATACTGCCGAGTGGATCTCGTTGAGCAGATATCTGCTAACAACAAGCCCAAATTGTAGTAGTTAACTGACAAGAGGGAGAAATCCACGTTACATCTTATTCAGCCAGTTTGACTAACAAATATATGTGTACACTTTTTTTTTCTGGATCACAGTATATATTTCTGTGGAAGTACAGTTTTTGTGTATATCCTCACACCATAACATAACCACTTTTTTTAAAAAGATAAAACATTTTGACCATTTTTATAAAGAAGCAAAATTCTTTTAATTCACAAGCATTACTGCTTATTGAGTAGAAATATACTAAAACATCGAGATGAAGATGGTGGGGAGAAAATGAGCTCACTCACTCACTAGGTGACTACTCCTGCAAAGCTGCCTCAGTGCTCCTCAGCCCAATTCAGTCTTCAGCAGTGTGTCTAGTACCACATTTCCTAGACTTTCCAGGTCATTTAGCATTAATACATTATGAATCCTAAAACAGCTGTCATGGGCATCCTTACTTTATAATGAAAACTTTATTAAAAATTTCAGGGAATTGAAAATGTGTCCGAATTAAGTTTTTATCAATATCTACGAATTAAAATGGTAACTAAAAACTATAGTATGCAGTTTAATTACTTTCATATTTCAGAAGGCATTTTACCCAGGCACATGGATATATGTTAGTTATTCCAGAGGACAAAACAAAAATTGAGATAATTTACTTTAGAATTTTTTTTTATTATACACTCTTGACTACCTTTTTAAAGAGAAACCTAACATGGCATTGCCTGACTTTGAGGTTCTGAAGAAACTGTCAAATCAGTGGAATAGGCAGGCAAGATTCTAGGTAACATGGTAGCCAAAAAGTCTGAAGGATAAATCAAAATATTTGATCCTTGGTGGCTTGAATACCTGCTATCTAATCGAATCATGGTTGAGTCTAAATGAGGTTAAGAATTCTCTGGAATCATGCTGTCCAATAGAAATATAATATGGCCTACATATGTGTAATTTAAAATTTTCTAGTAACCACGTAAAGTAAAAAGAAACAGGTGTAATTGCTTTCAATATATTTAATCCAGTAAATCCAAAATATTATTTCAACATGTAATCAATATTTTTTAAAAGTTAAGAAATATTTTATATTTTTGTGTGCTAAGTCTGAAATTTAGTGTGTATTACACTTAAAGCACATTCTGAATTTGGACTAGCCTCATTTCAGGTGCACGATAGCTACATGTGGCTATGAATGACTATATTGGATAGTGTATCTAGAACATCTAGAGGATGTGTGCCCATTACATTAAAAAATAGAACTTCCCTCTTGTATCCACTGTGAAATATTAAGTTACAGACAGACCTTAGAAGATGCCTACATCTTTGCTGGCCAAGTAAGCCACTAACCTAGGTCATAAATTGTTGGTTTTCGGACTACCTATTTTCATAATCAAGAGAAACACCTTTTTGTTTAACTTAATCACCGTTTGGTAAAATATTCATGAGTTTTTATAGGTGCAACTCTTTTGCCTAGAATCTAAATTCTATACATATTTGTATGTATGTAATAGAAATAAAAAGTTTTATTTTTATGATTTGTACTTGATCTGCTAGAAGTCTGACTATATTCTGAACTTTAAAAAAATGATAATGGATACTTTATACAATATTAAATTATTTTAAATAATTGGGACATAATCTGATTTGCATTTTCCTTTATATTTTAAGGATATGGAATATTATCTTGTAAAATGGAAAGGATGGCCAGATTCTACAAATACTTGGGAACCTTTGCAGAATCTCAAGTGCCCGTTACTACTTCAGCAGTTCTCTCATGACAAGGATGTTTACTTATCTCAGGTAAAGAAGGGCAGCACAGTAACTCTAAAAACCAGTAATAACAACAAAGCTCTGAATCCTGCCATTGCTGAGTACATTGTGAAGAAGGCTAAACAAAGGCTAGCTCTGCAGAGATGGCAAGACGAGCTCAACAGACGGAAAACTCACAAAGGGATGATCTTTGTGGAAAACACTGTTGACTTAGAGGGCCCGCCTCCAGACTTCTACTACATTAATGAGTACAAGCCAGCTCCTGGGATCAGTCTAGTCAATGAAGCGACCTTCGGTTGTTCATGCACAGATTGTTTCTTTGAGAAATGTTGTCCTGCTGAAGCTGGAGTTCTTTTGGCTTATAATAAAAACCAACAAATTAGAATACCACCAGGTACTCCCATTTATGAATGCAACTCAAGATGTCAGTGTGGACCCGATTGTCTCAATAGGGTTGTACAGAAAGGCACACAGTATTCACTTTGCATCTTTCGAACTAGCAATGGCTGTGGCTGGGGTGTAAAAACCCTTGTGAAGATTAAAAGAATGAGTTTTGTCATGGAATATGTTGGAGAGGTGCGTTCAACTTATTATATAGCAAATAATGTGTATGGAAGGTTTACGCTTTTGGAGAGTTACCTTTTTACCTCCGTAACAAGATTTCATATATTTTGGTATCATTTGCAAATATGTAGAAATTTCAGGTTTGTGAGAAGGGTACACTGACATAGAAATATAAACTTGAATATAAACAAACAACAAAATATATAGACACACACAAGAAATAGTCATCTTTCAACAAACACCCATTTAATGAAACTGGCATTTGTAAATTTTAATATGACAACTATTTTTACACAAAACCCCTACGAAGAAAATCAGATCTAAACACATACTGACTTTGAAACTTTTAAATTGTAATTTACTTCATTCATTTGACCAAATATTGGTTAAGTGTAGTTAGCAAAACTCAATTTTTGTTATCAACATGAGAGACACTGTGGAGTAGACCAGTGCTTTATGAGCAAGTGTTACAGGATAAACATAAAAGCATTTATTGTATCCATAAGAAAATCCAAACTCTGTATCTGTAACTCAGCTACAAAGACTATTTTCTAAATTACCATATACTGAATAGATTTATTTTTATACTATAATGTATATATACAAAAATAGTATTTGCCATGTGCCAGATACTATTCCAAGCACCTTATGTATTCACTCATTAATCTCTCTATGAGGTAGTTGTATTATCTCCATTATTATAGATGAGGAAACTGAGGCACAGAGAAATTAAACACCTTGCCCAAGGTCACACAGTAGTAAAGAAGACCCAGGATTCAAAACCAAGGCTCCAAAATCAGTGCACTTCACCACAGCACCACACTTACTCAAACTGAAGGGTGGGTGAAGCTGTGACTAGAAAACTAGGAGTGTGACTGCATATCTGGGGCTGTCAAATTGGACATTTTAAAGTTTGGAATTAAATCACCTAATTCTGAGATTAAATTGGATCCTGATATTGATCCTTATATCTTTAGATAATGGCAGATTATTATAAATCACTATTCAGGATATTACATCTTGGGTAATTCAGTTATTCTAGTTTTTTTCTCTTATTGGCTTAATGAATGCAGCAGCTAAATTTGGTTGACACCATGAATCACTTTAGACATTTTTTATTTCTTAAGCTGAGCATGTGGTGAGGCTGTGTTGTTAAGAGCAAAATTGTAGATGATGGGTTTGAGCTACCTAATTTCATGAAACAACCTATTCTTTTGAGTTGTCGGAAAAGTCATGACATATTTTTTCTGTTTTCATTGCAAAAATGCGTCATTACTTTTCCGACAAGCCAATATAAAATGAAGCTTTCCATACAGTCGACTGCAAATTTAACATACCTTCTCTCCTGTATTTGTAACAAATTTCCATTTGTAACTGTGCACAGATTAGTTATAGGGAAAGTATGCCTTTAGAGCATATATACTTGTAAATTTAATCTTTTACATTGTGTTATGTCCTGTGGAAAGCTATAGTTTTTTGAACACCTCACCAAATTAGGATGAAAGTACTACCACTGTTTCAACTTGTCAACTGTTGAGTTGTCTTAATTCCTATTTAAATAGTCATAATTCTTTTCCACCATCATTTCTCCTCCCATTGTCTTCCCACCTCTTTCCGTCTAGCTCTTTGGGAGTCATTTGTGTGACTGTTTATTTTGATGACATTTTAATTTCTTTTTAAACATTTAAAAAGATGAACACATTTGTAGGCATGAATGTGTTCATTAATAGATTTATGAATGAGTTTTTCTTCAGTTCAGCCACAGCTATATAATACACTATAGTTTTTTCTTTTTAGGTAATCACAAGTGAGGAAGCGGAGAGACGGGGGCAGTTATATGACAACAAAGGAATCACCTATCTCTTTGATCTGGACTATGAATCTGATGAATTCACAGTGGATGCAGCTCAATACGGAAATGTGTCTCATTTTGTGAATCACAGTGTAAGAAATATTTAAAAGCATAGACAGTACTAACTATCTTAGTACTGTTTAATGATTTTCCATAGTTGAGGAAGCAATTATCTTTAAACCATGTACCCTTTTAATATTTCCAAACTTTTTATTACAAGGGCCTCTTCTGATGAGTTGTGGGATCATTACTGTATTTGGAAAATTCATACCGTGCATTTGGCAAGAGTCTTTACATATGTTACTTTGTTTAACCTTTCCAACCACTTTATAAGATAGGTATTGGCCTCACACAGAGGAGGAAATTAATAGGTACAGGAGCTAAGAGGCAGCAGATAGAGAGTTTAAGAAACACACAACTGTATATAAGTTTCTTACAGAAGTTAACACAGCTAAATTGTAGGATGTACAACTAAAGATAGCTGTATTCTCTTAAAAGGTAAACATTTTTTAGAGTATTGAAGTGTTTAGTATTTATAATTTTTCTAAATTATAAGTTAGTGTTCTTAATTCATATTCGAAAATAATTTAGAATACAGCTGGAACCTTAACTCTAGAATCGTATCCTCTAAAAACTATTCCCCAAAATAAGGGAGATTAATAGTTATCAGGCACCAACTAAATCCAAGATGGGTTACAGACTATTTGGTTTATGAGATTGACATCATCTCCATTTTACAGGTTACAAGATGTGTCTCAGAGAGTAAGTTATGTAGCTGACCATGTGAGGAAGCAGACCGTGTTAACTTTTGATGGATTTTATATCAAGAAACTAATTTATGACTAGTAGTGAAATGTCAGAGACTTTTTGACTCCCTTGTTAAGTTTTCTGATTTACTTGAACTTTTACTTTAATTTTTTCTTAATAATAAATTTAAGATATCCTCAAAATAGATGTATTCTATTCAAAGACAATTAAGCAATTACTTCGATTTTTTTTAGTATGAGTCACTAGATCTTATATATTTCAGAATTTAGTGTAGAGCTCTCAAAATATCAGACAATTCCAAATAAACGTTTAAGCAATGAAATCCCATGCAATATGAAATTTCAGTTCTGCAGTACCAACTTGATTTTTTAAGTGCACTTCTAATTGTTTAAATATGTCTTACTGCAATATTTACAGGTGAAATTATAATGGTATCTGGAGTTCACAGTAAAATTCTCCAGAAAAATTAAAAAGTCAGGACTAGTTCAAACAACATTGGCAAAAATGTTAACAATTGTTTGAAGCTGCATAGTGAATTCATGTGCATTTATTATATTAGTTTCTCTAGTTTTATGTAAGTCTGAAATTTTCTGTAAGTGAAAATAGTATTTTTAAATGTGTATTCTTCAGAGACCTCTAAATAATCGACTTAATTTCCAGTACATCTTAGAAAGCTAGTACTCTAGGAAATTAAAGATTTTATGTGGCATATAGAACTCATTCATGTCATTTTTACTTAAATAAGTTCTAATGTTCTTTTTTTAGTGTGACCCAAATCTTCAGGTGTTCAATGTTTTCATTGATAACCTTGATACTCGTCTTCCCCGAATAGCATTATTTTCCACAAGAACCATAAACGCTGGAGAAGAGCTCACTTTTGATTATCAAATGAAAGGTATGGTTTTCAAGTACAGTTCATTGGTGTTAAGTTGTTTCAGTATGAAGAATCTATACAAATTAATATTAAAGATGAAAAAAATGAGGCGATTAGAGTTTGTCTTCTTCCTCAAGGCCTCATAGCTAATCTGACAGCTAAAACTGAACCTTGTGCTGAGCAATGTTCTTTTTGTTACATCACATTGCCAACTGCTTTGTTGAGAACTTCCATTATGGAAGCTTACTTTTTTTTTTTTTTTTCCTTCAAATTTTATTGGGGAAGGGAAATAGCCAAGTTGTTGTCCTTCAGTCTTAGTTGTGGAGGGCACAGCTAGCTCAGCTCCAAATCTAGTCACCATCCGGCCGCCCATCAGCAGCTTGCAGCCACTCAGCTCAAGGTGCTCTGTTCAATCTTAGTTGCAGGTCGGCATAGCCCACCATCCCATGCGGGAGTTGAACCAGCAACCCTGTTGTTGGGAGCACATGCTCTCACCATCCTGCCACCTATTGGCAGCTCAGTGGCAGCTCAGCTTGGGCACAGCTCACTGGCCCATGTGGGAATCAAACTGGCGACCCTGTTGCTCAGAGCTTGTGCTCTTAACCAACTAAGCCACTCGGCCAGCCCCAAAGCTTACTTATAACATCTTTTCTCAATACCACTTGTATTTAAAAAATTGTAAGCCTACATTTCTGAATCTTTATTGGGAGATAGCTATTCAAAAGATTGGAAATGTGATTTAAATCACATATGAACTTAATCCATTCCTACTGGAATTTGGATTTTAAAAAGAACATTTAATTCTGTTTGCTTTATTGTGACAATATAAGTGTTTTCTTTCCTTTGTTTTTCTAAGCATGATGCCCTTTACATATTGTTACTACTTAACCTCACTTTATGGCTCTTAAATAATGTATGAAAATGAATGATTATATATTGGATTTTCCCAATGAGTTTCATTATTTCAGAAATCCATTCTCATAAATATGGGCTCATGACATATACGTGCTTTACCTCTGATTAGCCCACACCATCCTTTCAAGACAATTCATAATGATTTGTCTCTGAATATTCACATTTATTTAAAGCTGATAGAAAATTTAAAACTCATTCTGAATTGTCTTAACTCTCTTTCTCCTGTATTTCTTTTTCTACATATTCAGGTTCTGGAGATATATCTTCAGATTCTATTGACTACAGCCCAGCCAAAAAGAGAGTCAGAACTGTGTGCAAATGTGGAGCTGTGACTTGCAGAGGTTACCTCAACTGAATTTTCAGAAAATAAAGCTGAGGATAATTGTAGTTTTGTTTTGTTTTTTCCCCTAATGTTAACATTTTAAAAAATAAGCATTCGGGACTCTTTTCATATTATTGAGATTATACACTATGTAAACTTACAATTCATGTTTCAGACCATTGGCCAAATGCATTACTGATGCTTCTGAAGGGAGGCACACAGGGTCACATAGACTAATTTGAAATACACCTAATTAATGGTTAGGTCTACTAGACAAGAAAAGGAAACTTGACAGATCAGCATATGCATACTTAAGAAGTATTTGTGACCAGAGAAATGCCTCCTTCATTGTTTAAGTGCTAAAGTGATGATATCACAGTCACTAAGATCAAACATTCAACTTGCCATACACCTTGAATTTAGAGAAATACTTAATTGAATTGGGGCAAATATGCAAAGTTCTATTTTTGTTATGTTGTCATTCCTGTTTACCTATTTATTACTGTAAATACCATTCTTGTATTGGAGACAAATAGGTGATACTGAATTACACTTATTTTCTTCTTTCATTAAAACATGGGATCTTGATACAGAAATTTAAGGTCTAAAAATAAATGTGAAAAAATTTAATTACAATTTGATTTCATATTTTGAAGCAATTTAGACAATAAAGAGGGGTGTATTTCTGAACCAGTTATTCTTAAAGTTTTTTAACCCTGTAGAAGAAAATTCTCCAAAAAGCTCTCTAAAATTCTAGAATAGCCATTATGCCTCTTGGAAATGACACAACAGTGGAACCAGGGAGGTTATTTTGGATACCAGACAGGGGAAATGGGGTGCTTTTAGGCCCCTTTTAAAAACATGAATTAGAGATCCACATGTTAAGTACCTGTGATCTACTGGGTTGTCAGAAAAGTCATGACGCATTTTTTCAACAAAAAACAGAAATACGACATGACTTTTCCGACAACCCAATAAATAGTAAAACAAGATAACCCTTCGAGCAGCTATACCTGATGATACTTCACACATGAACACTACATCTTTTGGATTTCAGGTGGTTTTAACATTTCCTTTCCACTAAAATTTAATTATATCCTGAAAGCTCTTCTTAAAAAATAATCTATATTTTCAACTGATAATTATTTTATAAATGTTTTAAATGTGATAAAGCTACACTTAGCTTGGTCAAAGTGTGTGCCTGAATTATGAGACCATTTATTACTTAAACTGAAGACTGAAGTGGAATATATTCCTTGTTGGTTTTGTTTAGTTGTTTCTCCTGATTGAGGTTTTATTATGCAGGAGAACAATGTTTTCATCTTTCTGATCCTGGGATTTCTAATCATGCTGTCCAACGTAAAGGAAAATGCAGCAAATAAATCTAGCTTTCAGTATTCCTAATTAAGTTGTATCTAAGCTCAATGCCCTAGGTTTTAATGACCTAAAAGAAACTTGGGTAAAACTGAACTGACTTCAAGAATGTGGCCTATCAAGTATCTTCTTAATCTTTCATCTCTTTTTTTTGGGAGAAGCTACATTTTATTACTTATTGGGTTGTTAGAAAAGTCATATTTTTTCTGTTTTTCATTGCAAAAATGCGTAATGACTTTTCCAACTACCCAATATTATATCGGTATCAAATGACTGCTCTTTTCATAATATAGGGTAAATTGTTTACATGTTAGAAGCCTCAGAGTATATCTGCAAAGCAGAATTGGCGGAAGGTGTCATGAACAAATACATTTTTTTAGTGCCATTTCTTACGGGGGTTTTTTTATGAAAAAATAATCACATTGAAGCAGTGGTGAGGGAGCATCACTGATTTTACAGGCTGCTCCCAGTGGGTAAGCATGTTTTGAATTATAATTGTCACAGGTAGGTTTAAAGATGTAATTTTCACATTCTTTTTAAAAAGTCACTGTTTTACTGTCTAATTACTTGATTTTTGTCTACTTTTGTGTTAAAAAATATATAACGAGGACAGGGAAAAATGGCTGTTTTCAGTCAACTTTTTTGGCCTTATTAACAGAAATTTAATGGGCCTTTGAGATTTTAATTACCTGTGTCACCCGTATGTTATTAAACAGCTGAACTTAAGCAGTAAAATAATACAAACTATTTATAACCGAAGTTATTAGGAGCTTTATTTTAAGTCAACATTTAGCTTCTTTAAATTTGTATCCTAAGTTGTCACAATGTATTCTGCCATTACAAAGCAAATATTCATGAGTATTATTTAGATGAAGTTTAAACTGTAAAATTAATCCACTATACAAGTTGTATTAACACCACTGTTTTCCAGATCTACCTAAGAGGTTTGTAATACACAATTGGTGATCTCAGGGTTTTTCCATCTATGCAAAATCTAGACAGCACTTATTTTTTCTTATAATTCAACAGTTATTCTTTAGCAAATTTAGTTTGACATTTGATTTTTCTGTTTATTGTGGGTTAGCTTTGTTTACAAATATTTTACTGTCTTTTTCCAGTAAGGCTACAGAAGGGGCAGAAAAATACTGATGTATTCCTGACTACCTGCTGTTGAGATTAACCAAAGGTGTATATACCATTCCTTTAAATGTTACTTTCCTTTTTAAAAAGCTCATTGTTGTCATAGTTCATGCATTTGGATATTAAAGTATAATTTTCACTTAGCATAATGTGAATGGATACTTCTAAAATTTTTTGAGCATTATTAGTTACCAGGTATTTAAACATATTTCGCTAAGTACTCCCTAGAAGTACAAAAGAATTTTAGAATTTGAGCTAATATCCTCTGAGCAAGTCTTAGGCCTTTATATGTCCTCATGTGCTTCTCATAAATGTATGAGGTTGGTGCTGTTGTCTCTACAGTCCACCTGAGGAAGTAGGTTCAGACTGTCAGGTCACAGTCACATGCCCAAGATCACCTAGAGGAGAGGCAGTAAACAAATCTATTTTTAACATATTTAACCAACTCCAGGCAGATTAAAAAAATAATTTCTACTATTAAACATCTAAGTCTTGCATTCCTCTAAGGCAAATGTGGCTAGCCACTGGGTTTCTTCTGTGATATATCTTGGAGTTTTGAAATTTTTTCTTCTAATTTTTCCTTTTTTATGCCTTCCAGTTCTTTAAAGTAAAAATCAAGTAGCCACTATAATTAATCCTGCCCACTGTTATGCTCATTTTGAGAGGCCTTACTGCATAGCAGTCAAGAGCATGGTGTCGGGGGCCTGAATTGCCCATGTTTGAGGCCTGGCTTTGCCCCTTCTAGCTATGTGAACTAACCTCTCTGCCTTAGCCTCCTCACCTGTGAGTGGGAATAATAAATATCTACCTCAAAGAGAATTGTGAGGATTAAAGGAATTAATGCAGTGCATAAAAGAATTAAGCATTGTCACAGAGTAAGTATATAGCTAATACTTACATATTATGTAAGTTATAATTATTTTGTACTTCAAGTAGAGTATAAACCTGTACTGGTTTTCAAGTACAGTATTTAAAGTACAGTATGATGCAGTTTACCCTTGAACAACAAGGGTTTGAACTGTGTGGGAATCCACGTATGTAAAAGGCTGACTTAATATACACGCGGATTTTTGACTGCGTGGGTGGCCGGTACTGCTAAGACTGCATTGTTCAAGGGTATAAACCTGTACTTGACAAACTTTGGTGAGTACTATAAGTTTCTTGATCAAAATCTGTTCTGCTCTTAGTCCTTAAATTCATTCAGCCAGCGTTTATTATGCCAGACTCACACATAAAACAATGGAAATGTGGCAGTGTGTAATGTTAAATTGATGGTATGGTTATGAAATGCTAAGAATATATTCAGAAGAAAGTTTACAGACATGTTTTGAACAGCCACCTTGGATCATAAGCTATTAAGATGAAGTCTTAAATGGCAATTAGTATATACAAATGTATACAAATGTATATAGTTATATTTGATTACATAATTTGTGATAATGAAGTATAACTAATTTTTAGAGCTATAAATAAAATACGAAGTCTCTGGGTTTCTATAATAGGCCTGTTGTAATGACCAGTTATTCAACCAATGATTTGCAACCCCTACTGGTTCCCTAGAGTGGTTTTATATTCACTTGGAATTTAGGAAATAGTCCTCAGGGGAGATGGACAAAATGGAACAAATAGAATAGAACTCTAACTGCCCGATCATAGCAGAGTGTACTTCATTCAAGGCTCAGGCAAGCTGAGCTAGAAAAAAAGGGTCAGTGTGTTCCCTTACAACTCCTTGTATCCTTCCTTATATTCTTTTGCACTAGGTACCTTACTGTGCTCAGGCCATTCTCTGTTGATGTACATATTATAATAAAACTTACTGTTGAGTAATGTAGGGCGGGAGACCCTTCCCTAAAAATGTGACTTAACATATCCTCAAACACCAATCAGAAATGAGTTGCACTTGGCCCTACTCTCAGCCCTATCCCTTAGTAACTATGGCAGTTTCTTCCCCTCAGCCCTCTTCTTGTGCCAGTTTCTTAGCTGAAATGTGTGAATTCTAAGTGTCACCATCCAGTTTTTCCCCCATGTAAGTGCACGGGGGAACCTGTCCTCCCAATATTTGGGAATGAAACATTCCCTTTTGGACAGTGAGAGGGCTGACTTCCTGGGTCCTGTGGGCATTGCTTCCTCTGAGCACCCCATTTATTTTTCTCTAAGTTTTGTAACCCTAATTAGTTTAGTGGATCCAGTACTTACTGTTGGTCTAATCACTTTCAATTAGGGTGATAATGCGTATCGTTAAATTGATCTGCAAATTGTTTTAGAGACTTCACTTAAACTTGTTTTAAGTGAAATCTCTGCTTTTGCTTCCTTAATCTACAAAATGTCAGCATACCAAAGTGTTTATCAATGTTAATAAAACTTTATTAAATCCACATACATAACTATGCAAAAGCATAACCTATTCATGAACTTTAGGAAAGTTAACTCACAGAACACACTTATACTTTTGTCATTTAATTATTTTCTTTCAGGTCCTAGTTTTTCTAGTTTTAATTTTACCACCATCTTCACACCAACATGCTTAAGTGATGTACCATCTTTTGAGGTAAGTAGGGGGCTGATTTTTCCTATGGCCATCAGTTTAATAGGTCCAAATTTATTCTTTCAATCTGAAGTATTTTTATGACCCAGGATATGGTCTATCTTGGTGAATGTCCCATGTGCACCCGGAAAGCATGCATTCTGCTATTACTGGATGGCATGTCAGATCTAGTTGGTTGATGAGTGCTGTTCAGTTCTTCTATGTCCTTGCTGATTTTCTGTAAACTAATTCTGTTACTGAAAGAGGAATGTTAAAGTTCCTCTTTATATACAATTGTGCATTAGTTTGTCTTTCTCTTTTCAGTTGATTTTGCTTTGTGCAGGCATACCTCGTTTTATTGCGCTTTGCAGATACTGTGTTTTCATCAACATCAAGGCAAGACCCTCCACCAGCAAAAGTATTACAACTTGTTGAGGGCTCAGGTGATGGTTAACATTTTTTAGCAATAAAGTATTTTTTAATTAAGGTATGTACATTTGCTTTTTTTGACATAATGCTATTGCACAGATAATAGACTATACTGTAAGCATAACTTTTATGTGCACTGAGAAACCAAAAAATTCATGTGAACTCACTTTATCGCATTGGTCTGGAACTGAACCTGCAGTATCTCAGAGGTCTGCCTGTATATTTTGAAGCTGTTAGGTACATACACATATAAGATTGTCTTGGTGAACTGCACACCAGCTTTCTTTTAAGTAATGTTTACATGGTATACCACTTTCCATCCTTTTACTTTTAACCAGCCTACATCATGTGAAGTGACATTCTTATACACAGCATATAGTTGGGTTATGTTTTATTTTTTCTGTCTTTTCATTGGTGTGTTTAGAGCATGTTCATTTAATGTAATTATTGCTTTGTTTGGATTTAGTTCTACCATATCTTATTTTCTCTGTTTTGCTCAATTTTTGTTCCTCTGTTTCCCCTTTACTGCCTGCCTTTTACATTATATGAGCATTTTTAAGTATTCCATTTTAATTTATCTATTATGACTTTAGCTTTACCTTTTGGATAGTTCTTTTAGTGATGGCTCTAGAATGAAGTATTTTTAATTCTTAAGTATTTAAGAGTGAGCTTTTTCTTTTTTCAACTATTATACTCTCACCTGTGGCTAGCTTCTCGTATAAATGTTGTAGATGTTCTTGTTGAGGTAACTCAGCCTCAGGAGTTGAGGGAATTTCAAAGTCGGAGGAGCTCTGTGAGTCTACACAGGTACTAAGGTTTAACGGCCTTTTTTCCTGAGGTATGTGTTTCCCGCTGCTTAGAGAAGTTGGTTCTCCAGCACTCGGAACTATACTTACACCTGGATCTCTGCTTTTCAAATCAGAGTACGTGTCATTTGGGCAAGTGTCCTTTTGTTCCATCTGAGAAGCAGAAACATTCTCTTTGAGTCTTGGTCTGTAACCACTTTTGTTCAGGGAGGTAGTATCTGCACTGTTTCTGTCTTGAGACGATAACAAGACCGTATCAGATTGGCTGTCCCAGCCCTGACTTCCTTGTTCTGAGATGTGTGTGGACTGAGAGGAATTCTGGGAGGAGATGTGAGTTGACTCCCCATCAGAGTCACTCAAAAGCTTGGGTGACTGAGAGCCCCCTGCCTCCGTGGAGGAAGGGAAGTTTTCCAAACCATTTTCTGGGACGTCGTCATTTCTTTTAAAGAATACCTTCCACTGTGGTACTTCATCAGAATTCTGTTGGTGTGTGACAGGACCCGGATCTCCTTGAGATGAGGCTGCGATGTGCAATTCTTCCTCACTTTCACTGTTGGATTCTTCGCAGTCTATAAAGTCAGTCCAAGGAGAGGTTTGCATGCTCTCTGCTTTGAAGCACCCTGTGCTTTGTCTCAGTTTTTCCGGCTGGTTTGGTGACACCGCAGTCATTGGAAATATCTCAGGGTGAAGAGTTTGCTGGTTTGGAACCTTGTACCTTAAAGGTAGTGGCAGAGGATCGTCAAAGAGGTCATCCTCCTCCTCCTCTAGGAGACAAACGAGACAGGCTGATGAGAAAGGGTGCAGAGGGAGCCAATTTGTGCTTATACTTAAAAATCCAGCTGTAGCTTTTAGCTGCATTAATTCATGGAATTGCAAATAGGGAGTTCATGCTTCTTCCAAGAGAAATGAAAAGGCCCCTTATTCTTGAGGTATTCTGAACACTATAACTACCATCGTTTAACTTATAATGTTAGATGGTGAGCTGAGAGTCTAGATTTGTGTTCCCCGAATAAGGCTGCAACACCCTACCTGTGGTTTTCAAACTTGGCTGATCATTAGCACCATCTGGAGAGCTTTTTAAAAAGCACAGCTTTCTATATCTCATTCCAGACCTACTGAATCCCTTAAGGTGGGAACCCAGTAATTTGATTTTTGCTCTAAATTCTACAGGATTTTGTTCACAGCCAGTTTTGTGAACCACCCAGACTTGAAGAGAGGTTTGCAAATACTAGATGCTCAACAAGTTGGCTGGTTTAATAAAGACAACAGTTAATTTTTTCTAAAGTTTTCCTCCTATAAATATTGATAACTACTTTGTGTTTGTTATGAGCTGAATGTGTGTGTCTTCCCAAAATTCACAATTTGAAGCTCCAACCTCAGTGTGATGGTATCTGGAGGTGGGACCCACATGATGGGATTACTATTCTTGTAAAAAGAGGAAGATAGGTATCTCACTTTCTGAATGCCCATGCACCAGGAAAGGCCTGTGAACACACGGAGAAGGTAGCAGTTACAAGCCAGGTCACAGGCCCTCACAACCCAATATGATGGCACACCTTCATCTTGGACATCCCAGCCTCCAGAACTGTGAGCAGTAAATGTCTTGTTTTGAGTCTTCTAATGTATGGTGTGTGTTACAGCAGCCAGAGCTGGTGCACAGGGCTGTGAGAGATACTAGGAGAACACATACAGAGTAGATCAACTTGAACCAAAACAATAAGAAGTCACAATAATAATAATAATAAGTTGACTTTAGTGTCAAGAACTAAAGTCAACAAAACTCACTTGACTGATTTTTTTAAGCATGTTGCATCAGCATATAGTGAGCCCAGTCCACTTAAGTTCTTAAATTGAGGAAATCTTACCTGGACAACGGAATTTTCATAGCTTAAAATATGAGATTTATATAAATTAAAATGGTAAGGCACAGAATTGGGGAGAAAAATATTTTCCTGCCCTCTACTAGCACCTAACCTAAGAAGGCAATTAAATGCTCACGAGACTCCTGTATATGGCAGTTTATTGTTCCAGTGCTGACTCTGGTGTTAACTTATAATTACCTACATCCTAGAAAGAGAACTATTTTCCCAGTCATAAAGGATGTAGCTAAATACTACATTTTTTAAAGGCACTAAAAAAAATGGACCACAGAGACCATCTAACTCCCGTTTTACCAATGAAGAGACAGGCCCAGAGAAGGTATGTGACAATGCAAAGGTGGACAAACTAGAGAAGCAGAGCTAGGAATCAAACCCAATTCTTAAAATCCCATGTTCTGTTATGATTTATAATTGTTTAAGCAAGCAACTGTCCTTTTCTAAAGGACTTAAGGTGACTGAGATGTTTAGCTACTGTTATTTGGAATCACCATAGTCTCCAAGTATGGGTTTTTTTTTAAGCCATGGATTATATACATTTGTTTCAATTCTTGTAGTGTGCCAGTTGTCTTTTTATGAAATGTTTTTGTATCATCTCTAAGTTGGACAGTTTCGTGTTCTTCTGGATGCAGGACTATACCAGCACCATGGTACGTTTCAACTGTAAAATACTTTGATCTGTCAAAACATTTTCACATTAACTCGCCTGTATGTATCTGAAAAAATAACTAGTTTCTATATACTGCTTGTTTACTCTGACATTGTGTATTCTTTGTTAAAACTAAAAGTTTTAAGTTTCTCCGTATGAAAATGGAAAGGCATAATATAACACTGAGAAAATACCACAAAAAATATGAAGGTACTGAAATCCTTAATGATGTTTATAAACTGATAAATACAACTAAACCCAATAAAAAAATGGACAATGTCATAAATCAGATACTTTCCACCACCGTGCACTGTTGATGTTTGTATAAAGTGGTATAATCATATGAGAAGACAATTTGGCAATATGTATCAGACACCTTAATTTCTGAAATTTAACCCAATAATGAGAAATATGAAATAGACCTACGTACAATGTTCATCACAATATTTATAAAATTGAAAAGACTGAAATAACCTAAATGTATGACAAAGATTAAATATACCATTATCTAGTCACAATGCAAAGTATGCAGCCATTAAATTGGCATTTTGAATAACACAAATTTTCCAGTAGAAAGTTTACATGCTTTCACACTGTTCAGTGAACAGCCTTCACCGTCAGCCCAGTGTCCTTCCCGCCCTGGCCCCTCCCTAGGGACTGCTGTCCTCCTTGCCACAATCCCAGTAAGAGTCTTGGAGGAGGAGTGAAGAGCTGTAGGACACTGCCCTACTTCCACTACAGTTACTATTGCTCTCATTGGTGCCTATACAATGTTGCTTTTAAAACATTTTCAGTATCACATTTCTGAGTTTGGTGGCTATTTATATAAATGAATAAGAAAAAAAAGGAAATACATTAAAATGCTAATCAAAACAATTTAGAGTTGTGGGGTTCTACACAACTTTTCTAAATTATCTACAGTGAGTTTATGCTACTTTTATAAGACCAGAAGCAGTAATTTTTAAAAATTGCTCTGTGGGGATAATTATAGTGGTTAACTAGTAAGTTATATAAAAATACAACAGTACAAAGAGCGCTACTAAAATGGTTTTTAACACGCTAAGAGAAGAATGACTTGTCAGCTTGCCCCTCGGGTTGATTTAATAGCACGTGTGTATGAACACTGACTTGCATCGTGTTAAAAACTAAATGAACCTGCAAGACTGGTCAGCACACTGGTAGAGACCCCGAAGCGCACACAGCACAAAATGAGAATTATAAAGTCAGTGACAGGTAGGAACTACACATGATGACACCTGTGGCTCACAAAATTCATGTAAAAACATCTACAGATAACACCACAGGACTGTGGGAAGATTTTTATTTGCAAAAATACCTTAAAAGCTATAAAAATTGCTATATCAGTAATTAATGAAAAGCCTAAGGAATCTAGAAGAGACAAAATCAAAGCTACCAAAAAGGATAAAGCAAGAACAAATAAAATGGAAGTGAACAATAATTCAAAAATTCTTACACTAGTGACCCAATCAAAAAAAGGCATACTCATCATCAAAAACAAGCGTCATTTGGTTAAATGCATAAAAGATAAATGTTAAGTTTAAAATAAATTTTTAATTTATGTTTCCAGCCAAAAAAGTAACAGACTAAATTTAACGTCTCACCTGAAACAACTAAAAGCAAGAAAAAACATAACAAAGGCTCTCAAGAAATTGGACATCAGGCAGTGAAGGACAGTGATACCTAAGAAATGTGAAACAAATGAAGTGAGCCCTAAGATTGTCTGAGCTTGGTGGTTTTCAGGCAGAAAGGGGGCACCAAGGTAGAGCCTATCCAGCATCTCTGAGTTGAGACAGACATAAGTGGGAGTCTGAGAAAGCCAAGTGGCTGGACTCAGCAGACAGTGGGACACAGGTGCCCTCGAGTCCTCAGCATGCTGTGATCAGCGCATCCTGCGAAGCAGCACATCCCCAGGCCACCAGGGAAACAAGCACTCCAGAGAATGCAAGGAAACAGTGCCTAGTGCTGGGAACAGTGCCCGTTCTCGACAGCCAGAGTGGAACACATCATAATTCATGGGTGTTTTACTGTAAGAGTACTAAGATGGGCCTTGCCTCAGTAGTGGGGAAAGTTAATTCTAGATTAAGTGCTGCTCTGCTCCTGCCTAACAAAGATAAAAAGCAAGACACAAAAAGATCAAACTTTCCAAGTCACTTAACCACATGCCTGAACAAAGTTCAAGAATAGTTTTAAAAACCCCAAATTATACAAAACCTAACAAGGTGAAGTTCAGGAGGTATGGCATCCAATAAAAAATTATGACATGCAGAAAGGTGGGAAAATACAATTTATACTAAGGAAGACTGACCCAGAAATAAAACATGGAAGTAAATCATGATCTTGGATTAAGCAATAGTTTCTAAGGACACCAAAAGCACAAGTTATAAAAGAAAAATTAAATTGGACTTCATCAAAATTTAAATTTTTGCACTTCAAAAGACCAAGAAAGTAAAAACATCAGTTTGTTCTCTGTATGAGTCTGTTACTGTTTTGTTTGTTCATTTATTTTGTTCTTTAGATTTCACATATAAGTGAGAACATATGGTATTTGTCTTTCTCAGCCTGACTTATTTCACTTAGCATAATACCCTCTAGGTCCAATGGGGAGTTGGGTGAAAAAGGTGAAAGAATTAAGAAGTGAAAATTGGCAGTTATGAAACAGTTACAGGAATGTAAAGTACAGCATATATAATATAGGCAGTGTTGCAACAACTATGGATAATGAGAGGGTGGGTACTAGGACTAATTGGGGGGGGTCACCGCATAAATTATATGTCTAACCACTAGGTACAACTGAAATTAATATAATATTAAATGTCAACTGTAACTGAAAAAAATTTTAAATATAATTCAGAAATTAAAAATATATATACAATCAAGAGTCCTATGATACACATAAAATATGCTCAGAATTACTATGAAAAGAACAAGTTCTTGCACTCATGCTGAACAACGCAACTGTTTAGATAGAGCGAACTACTTGTACCTACACTGAAGATCCTTCAGGACACATAATTTAGTCAAAGAACAAATTATATAAATGATTTTATTAAAACGTATGGATGCATGCAAAGAATAATTTCTGAAAAGTAATATACCAAGTCGCCAGCTGTAAGACCTGGGAAATACATAGGGATGGGGGGGACTGAAAAACAAGTATGTTCAGGCCGGCCAAGTGGCGCAGCTGGTTAGAGCGTGAGCTCTGAGCAACAGGGTCGCT